CACTCACACAAACAAACACACGCACACACACACACACACACAGAAACACACACAGAAACACGCACACACACACAGACACACACAGAAACACACACACACACAACACACAACAACAACACACAGAACACACACACACGCAGAAACACCACACAAAACACACACACACAAAACATGTCCTCCCTCCCCATTGTACCATTTACGTAGCCTCTCCCTCTCCTCTCTTTACAAACGATTTTTTACACCTACTAATTTTCATTCATACATTTTGCATTCATGTTCATGTTTACTCACAGTCACCCACACTCACAGGCTCTCTCTCCTTTGTAATGGGTTTGCGAAGAGCACTCGACCCGTCCTCACATGCTTTCACTTCTCCCAACTTTTTTTTCTACAAGAGTTCGTCACAATTACACTTTCTATAACTCTCTAACTCTCTGAGGCTTTCTTGTTGGTCGCTTTTACGCACACATGGGGGGGGGGGGGGGGGGAGGGGCGAAAGGCTGGCACAAAGTGGAGCTTCCTACTACATGTGTATTCAGATTTTGTGACACGGACGTTAAACTGGGGGAGAGAATGGAGGGAGGGAGAGGAGAGAGATTGAGAGAGAGAGAGTAGAGAAAGAGAGAGAGAGAAGAGAAAGAAAGAGAGGAGAGAGAGAGAAAGAGAAAAAAGGAGAGAGAGAGAGAGAGAGGACACAAAGAGGGGGGATTCGGAATGAAAGAGATTAAAAAAGAGAGAAAGGGAAGGAAAAGAGATAAAGAACAGAGAAAATGGAAATAGAAAGAGCAAGAGAGATAGAAAGGAATTTCAGAAGAAATTAAAAGAGATTGAGAGAGAGAGAGTAAGAGAAGAGAATGGAATTGAAAAGACAATGAGAAGATTAAGAAAGACGGAAGCGGTAGGAGAGAGAGAGGATGTGGGAGAGATTCAGAAAAAGAGAAAAGAGACAAAGAAAAAAAGGGTACAAGAGGGAGAGAGAAGAGAAAAGGAAAACAATGAGACATCCAGAGAAAAGTAGTCCAAGAATTCAAGCAATAGACCCAATGCCTGAACCACACACCCATCCCAACCACAGCCTACCCAAGGACCACTCCCCGCAACTAATGACCACGCCACCCACCCACCACGGCCACTGTGATCACCCAGCCACACGAAGAACCACTTCAACAGACACCCACCACGACCCACATCACCCCCAGCCAACAGACCGCAGAGAACCACTTCAAACAGACACCCACCACGACCACGTGATCACCCCAGCCCACAGACCGCAGAACCCTGACACCACCACACGGCCACGTGATCACCCCAGCCACAGACCGCAGAACCACCTCAACAGACACCCACCACGACACGAATCACCCCAGCCGCAGAACCACCAGACACCACCTCAACAGACACCACCACGACCACGTGATCACCGCAGCCAAGACCACCAGAACCACCTCAACAGACACCCACCACGACCACGTGATCACCCCAGCCAAGGCCCAGACCACAGAACCACCTCAACAGACACCCACCTACGACCACCGTGATTCACCCCAGCCAAGCCCGACCACAGAACCACCTCAACAGACACCCACCACGACCACGTGATCACCCCAGCCAAGGCCCAGACCACAGAACCACCTCAACAGACACCCACCACGACCACGTGATCACCCCAGCCAGGCCAGACCACAGACACCACCTCAACAGACACCCACCACGACCACGTGATCACCCCAGCCAAGCCCAGACCACAGAACCCACCTCAAACAGACACCCACCACGACCACGTGATCACCCCAGCCACAGGCCCAGACCAACCCAGACCACTCAACAGACACCCCAACACGGCCACGTGATCACCCCAGCCCACCCACAGAACCACCTCAACAGACACCTACCACGGCCACGTGATCACAGCCACAGACCAAAACACCTCCAACGACACCCACCACGGCCACGTGATCACCCCAGCCACCAGACCGCAAACCAACTCAACAGACACCCCACCAGGACAGCTTAACGATCACCCCAGCCAAGGCCCAGGACCACAGAACCACCTCAACAGAAACCCACCACGGACCCACGTGATCACCCAGCCCTAGGCCTCACGACCACAGAACCACCTCACAACAGACACCCACCACGACCAGTGATCACCCGAGCCAAGGCCCCAGACCAACAGAACCAGACCCTCAACAGACAACCCACACGGCCACGTGATCACCCCAGCCACAATTCACAGAACCACCTCAACAGACACCCACCACGGCCACCCTGAACTCACCCCAGCCACCAGACCAAAAACCACACTCAACAGACACCCACCACAGGCCACGTGATTACCCCAAGCCACCAGACCACAGAACCACCTCCAACAGACACCACATGACCACGTGATCACCCCAGCCACAGACAACAGAACCACCTCAACAGACACCCACCACGGCCACGTGATCACCCCAGCCACAGACCACAGAACCACCTCAACAGACACCCACCACACCACGTTGATCACCCCAGCGGCCAGACCACAGAACCACCTGACAGACACCCACCACGACGTGATCCACCCCAGCAAGGCCAGACCACAGAACCGCCCTAACAGACACCCACCACACGACCACCTCAACCGCAGCCCACCACTCAACCACTCAAACCAAGGTCAACCGCGTGAATATCGGACCCTACCACACAACCATCACAAGCCAAGCCCACCATATGCTCATTCAAACACAAACCTACCACGCTGCTACTTCTAGCTGACTCTTAACACACTACCACCCGAACTATATCACGCCACACAAGCACCCCCTGGAATCCCACTGCACAACCAAGCATACTGAATCCCCCCCCCCCCCCCACACACCACACACAACCATCCCACTGGAATATAACCATGTAATCACCTCCCTGGAATTCCACCCCATCTGAACCCCACCGGAATCCCACCCCATGGCCACTCTCTGGAATCCCCACTTACAATCCCACCACACAACACCCCATTTAAATCCCACTTAAAGTTCCACCACACAACCACCACTAGAGTCCCACTTATAATCCCAAATCCCACCCCCACAACCACCCTATCCGGACCCCAATTAAAATCCCACCACACACAACCACCCCCTTGGAACCCTACTCAAAATCCCACCACCCCCACGCCCAACCCCCTTCCACCCCACCCACCCCTAACCCTAAAGCCCCCAAAAACCGAAACGAGGAAAATACGCAAGGCCCCACAACCACCCCATTCGAAGGGGACAAAGAGGCCACAAGCCGGTCAAGAGGAAGAAAGAGGAGATGAGCATGGCGATGGGATGGAGATTCGAGGCTAACTGCCAGACCCCACACCCCACCCCTGAAACCCTCCCATGACCCCCGAAAAATCGCACACCTCCAGAAGCCACCCTATCGGGACGCGCATGCGAACTCAAATGAGCCCACCCACCTGAGAATCCGACCCAACCGACCCAAGAGCCTCCCAAAATCCCACCCCACATACCACCCGTCGGGACCCCACTCGAAAAATTGCGACTGACCCACCCCGACACCCAGAACGACCCAAAGATCCCCCCTCGCCGAAGAACGAGCGCCCCCTCTCGAAACCCACCCAGAGATTCGACCCGCACTTCCAGACCCGATCCTCGAGCAAGCCCGATTTCCTGAGGGGCGCCTCTGGTGCAAGCCTTTCTCACCCTCCCCCTCCCTCCTTCCAACCTCCCCTTCACCCCTCCGGCGATTGCGGGGTTGCGTGGTTCCCGTGGCCAGGCTTTGTCTTTTTCCTCTCGATCTAAGCGCCCGAACTTAGGGACCAGCGCCAGAAACAGAGTATGTAGATTGACCCTCCGGCGCAGAACAGCATTCCTCTCCCAAGCGACTCATTCCAAGCAGTTAAGTTGGACCCCACTACATCGCAGTGACTCATCACCGTGCTCGCGAAAGTTGTTGGGTGGAGGAGTGAGGGAGAGGGAGAGGAGAGGAGAGAGAGGTAATGGCCGGGTCGACGCAGGCCCTGAGTGCCTCCTATCACATCCTTGGGCGTGGACCTCATTGGGGTTCTCTTTCGTCTTCTCCGTCTCTTTCTTTTCGTGCTCTTTGATTTGATCGCTTGTCCTTCTTTTTCTCTTCTTTTTCTGTCTTTATTCTGGATTCTCCATCGTCTTATTCTTCTCCTTCGTCTCTTCTTCTCTCCTTCTTTTTCTGTCTTTATTCTGGATTCTCCGGATCTGTGTTATTCGTCTGCCTTCGTCTCCTTCTCCTCCTTCTTTTTCTGTCTTTATTCTGGATTCTCCATCGTCTTATTCTTCTCCTTCGTCTCCTTCTTCTCCTTCTTTTTCTGTCTTTATTCTGGAGAATTCTCCTTCGTCTCCTTCTTTTTCGTCTTTTTTATTCTGTTTATGCTTACGTATCTTAATCTTGTGTGAGATAATATGATAGTAAGAGGGATAGAGGTAGATTATATATATATATTATTAAAGATAGGAAGAGGAAGGTAATAAATAGGTAAAAGAGTTAAGTAAGAATAGATGAGTATATATAGTTATATGAAGTGTATAATAAATATATAATATGGTAATATATATATATAGTATATATGTATAGTAAGTGATGTGTAATAGCTATATGTATGATAGATATGGATATATCGTTTCTTCTTTATTGTTTCCGAGATTGTGTAAACATATCGTTGTTGGATAGCACTGGAACATTTTTCTTGTTTGCTTACGTGTTCTTCTTCTTACTCCGAGACGCTATGTGACTTGCGTATCGTCATTTCTTCGTTTTCCTTTTTCTTTGATACTTTCCACTATTATTTCTTCTCTTGCCTCGCTTTCTTCTCCTCTTTCTCTTACTCCTCTTCTTCTATCTCTCTTTCTTTATCATAATCGTACTTATGAATGACTATCATTTGTTCTCTTTGCTTCTATCTGTTCTTATTTCCGTGTAATCGAGATTATGTCATTCTTCTTGGTGTTGATTGTTCTTTTCTTCATCTTACTCTCTTCCTTACAATTTTTTTCTTCTTATCTCGCTTATTCTTGATTATACGACTATCGCGACGATTCATCCTGCACTTCTTTTTCCTTCTTAAGCCTTCTATCCATTTATGTCCTTTCTTCTGATTTTTCTGTCATTCCTATACTGCTCTGCTTCCTTCGCCTTTCGTTCCCTGTTCTCTTACTTTCTCCCTTTTCCTCCCTCGCTTTCTCCTTTTCTCTCCGATCTCAGATTCTCTCTCCGTCTCATCTCTTCTCCTCTCTCTCTCTCTCTCTCATCCTGCCTCGTCTGACGAAGATCTCTCGAGATAGCTTCCTTGACTCTGGGGAACTCTCTCCCTCTCGTCCTTTCTCGGTTTCTCGTCCTCTCTCTACTCTTCTTCTCTCTCTCTCGGGTGCTCTTTGCTCTCTCCTCTCTCTTCTCACTCTCTCTCCTGCTCTGCCTCTCTCGTCTGTCTCTCTCTCTCGTGTTCCCGCTCTCTGGCCGCCCATGCTCTCTCTCTCTCTCTCTCTCTCTCTCTCTCCCTCTCCCCTTCTCCCGTTTTGTCTTTTTCCTTCGATCTCTATCGCGATTAAGCGGCCAGTGGGAAGGGGAGAGTGCGAGAGTAGGTGTGAGGTGAGGAGAGGGATGGGGAGGGAGGGAGAGGGGAGGGAAGGAGAGGAGAGGGAGGGAGAGGAGAGGAGAGGGGAGGGAGAGGGAGAGGGAGAGGAAGAGGAAGAGGAAAGTGAAGAGAAGAGGAGAGGAAGAGGAGATGAGATGTGAGCATGGGAGATTGGATAGGATGGAGATGGAGTGGAATGGAGAGGAGAGAGGAGAGAGGAGAGAAGGAGAGAGAGAGGAGAGAGATCTGCGAGACCTCGGTGCAGAGAGTAGTGCACATCTCTTTTTGAGAGTATGGAGGCTTGGTCTGACAGACGGAAGACGGAGACAGGCACAGAAGAATGTCCTCAGACTAGGCCCGAGATCCGTAGCAAATCATGACAACCGCTTTACGCCAGTAATCTCAGCACTCTGCTGTTCATAGCCCACACGAGTGCCCGCTATTAAAACGCCACTCCCGAAGTCCAATAGATGCGTCACACCGACATCTGCACTCCCCGGAAGCCGCACCCGGAACTCTGCCCGCCCCCCCGCACGGCGAAAATTTCTCCCCCACGCCCCCCCCCCTCTCATCTCTCTCTCTATCTCTCTCCTCTCTTCTCTCCTCTCTCTCTCTCTCCTCTCTCTCTCTCTCTCTCTCTCTCTCTCTCTCCCTTACCCCTTCTCCCTCTAATGTCAACTCTATCTCTGTCTCTCCCTCTCCCCTGCCCCCCCCCCTCCCCCCACCCCCCCCCCCCCCCCCCCCCCCCCCCCCCCCCCCCCCTCCCCCCTCTCTCTCTCTCTCTCTCTGTGCGTCCATGCTGGGCCGCTTCATCTCCCGTCTAATGGCTTCGATAAGCCCGTCTTCCTCCAGATGTTCCGAGCCCCTACATAGAGCATGGTGTTGAAAGCCGTCTTGCGAGTGGAGCGGCACATCCGGCCTCGTGAACTTCCATCTTCCCCTACATCTCTAAGCTGCGCCCTCCGTACAAAAATCTATTCTCTCTCTGCTCTCTATTATGTCTGCACGTATTTAAGGTGTACTGATTCATTTCATATCTGTTTCGGTGTGTCTCTGTGCTAGAATATTCCCCACGTGCTTCAATATCTATCCTCCTTCTCTCTACGTCTAACACTTCTTTACCGTCATCGCACGAATCACATCATACCCTGTATCTTTTTTCTATCTGTCTATCTAATTTCATATCTATATGCATTACTGTTATCCCCGTATTAATCAATCTATCCTTGCTCTGTCTGTCTATATCTTTCATTTGTTATATGTTGAAAATGTTTGTATGTCTACGTGCCACACTACCGAACACATACATGCTACAAACATTCACAAACACACACCACACACACACACACACACACACACCACGCCACAACGACACACACACACACAACAACACACCACACATTATTCCCACATCTCACCCACCACACACACCAACACACCACACACACCTACTACACATACCTACTCGACATTCCCAACACACTACTCTTTTTTCTATTGTCTCGTCCCTCTACACCCTACTGCACCACCCCACTATATGCTTTCTTCTTATCTACTGCTCTCTCTTCTTACTACTCTCATCCCTCTAACCCTCTACCTCTCCTCATATCCTCTACACTTCCTCATTATACTTCTTATCTCATACTCTCTTACTATCATGCGTGGCTTCTGTCGTCTCTGCTGTCTACTTCCTGCGTTCGTCTCTTGCTGTCTTGCTGTCTTGTCTCTCTCTCTCTCTCTCTCTCTCTCTCTCTCTCTCTCGCCCTCTCTCTCTCTCTCTCTCTCTCTCTCTATCTATGCTAATCTCTCTCTCTCCCTCTCTCTCCTCTCTCTTCTGCTTTCTGCTGTGTGCTCTTCTCGTTCTCTCTTCTCTCTCTCTCTCTCTCTCTCTCTCTCTCTCTCTCTCT